GAAGGGAAGGGAAACGTTTAAAATCGATCGTCAGTCCGAAAACAAATCTTTGATCCTTTTCTGGTTGGAAATCCCGTGTTTCGATCTTGATCAAATCTAGTTTGGATTGATATGTTTGTCCCTGTTAGTTCATGACCTTGTCCATCTATAATCAAAATATTTTCAGTATACAAAAGTTATGAGATACTTTCTATCATTGCTTGAGATGGCTTCTGGCTGTTGATTTGTCTGAAAATATCTGATAACTAACAATAGCAAGGGATTTTTACATGTATACTGTAGCATATGATCCTTAGTCTTGGTTGCATCATGAATAATCCTTCAATGAATTGTAAGTTTGACAACATTAGTCTTTTGAAGAAAAAGTCCGGCTTTTTGAGAATTTCAGTTTTATGCTTCTACGAAAAACGAACCAAGTACTCATTTGAATTTTAATGGGTGTTTTTGTTGTGATAAGGTTTGGGTTTACACCTCACCAAAAGAAAATTGAAATCAGAGGAGGGGCCATTTTGGAAACCCCCTTTTTAACATCTCTTAAACGTTAAACTATTTAGTCAAATGACAACCTGAAAATAGAGTCGATACTCAAAATATATATCTCCTAACAAAAGTCTACGTAGTTGATAATAACATGACCTGAAGCTAACGTCCAGTGTGGTCAGTTTCATCTTTTGGGAAAGCCATGATAAAAATAGCTACGGCCAAAGTAGCCCAATATCCGGGCCTTTCAGTGAGAAGTAAACATGTACAGCACTACGCTGTCGACCGACAACACAGTGTCAGTTATGAGTCTTGAGTTCATACACAACACGTTCTCGAAGAACCGCAGAAAGTACGATATCAAAAGGTTTAAACGTAAAATAAATCACTCCTTTATAACGAAGTTTGAGATGCTGTTGGAAGATGAGTTTGATTCAGAACAAATGCACTTTTGTTTTAGAGAGGCTAGGTGAATAAAGCGAGAAGTCACTTCTCTCCTCGGCTAGAAGACATTTTTGTTAGACAGCTGCCGCTAAAACGTACGGCTGTACAGTTAAGGATTTCTCAATTACCGATTAAAAACACCAAGAAAACATTGTCCTTTGCCAATTTCCCGACATGAATTGTTCATAAGGAGTATCAAACTATATGATCATGAAGAATTTTGTTGCAAGGTTATAAACAAGAGGCCCAAGAGGGCCTGTATCGCTCACATGAATATTTAAGCAGTCATAGCAAATATTCTCATTAAATATTATATTGCACTACAAATTTGTCACTCGCAAACTTTGTCGGCTCCATCTGTTGAAATTACCAGTCAAATATTCTTTCAAATAAGATTTTATGCTTTTTGGCCATCGTTCTTCTTCAAAAGTTGTTTGACATATTTTTCCCTGTGACCTTGTAAGTTTGTCAATTCATTTTTCTTCTCAAACTTTTATAGCTCTATCCCAAGAAGCTACCAGCCAAATCTTATGAATCCATTCCTTTTGGTTCTTCAGAACAAATCCTTTGAAATGTTATTGACTTCTGTAACATTTAAAGTAGGCCGAGGTCATTTTAATTTGCAAACTTGGATGAGATCTAACCCAAGAAGTCACTAGCCAAATATTATAATTTTATGCCTTTCAATTTTTCAGAAGAAGTCGCTTGATGTTTTTGACATGTTTGACACCTGTGACCTTGAAGAAGGTCAAAGTCATTTTAATTCTCAAACTGTGTCGGGCTCTATCTCAGGAAGCCACAAGGCAAATATGAAGGTTCTAAACCTTTCAGTTCTTCAGAAGACGTCGTTTAAAGATTTTTACATATTTCACCATTGTGACCTTGAAACTAGGTCAAGATTATTTCCATTCTCAAACTTTGTTGGGCTCTATCCAAGAAAGTCACCAGCCAATTTTGAAGACTGTATACCTTTTAGTTCTTCAGGAGAAGTCGTTTGAAGTGTTTGACATATTTGACTGCTGTGACCTTGAAAGGAGGTCAAAGTCATTTTCATTCTCAAACTTTGTCGGGCTCTATCCCAGGAAGCCACCAGCCAAATATGAAGGTTCTATATTTTTAGTTCTTCAGAAGAAGTTGTTTAAAGAGTTTAACATATTTGACTCCTGTGACCTTGTAAGCCGGTCAAAGTCATTTTCATTCTCAAACTTTGTCTGGCTCTATCCCAGGAAGCTGCCAGCCAAATATAAAGATTCTATACCTTTTGGTCCTTCAGAAGAAGTTGTTTAAAAAGTTTGACATATTTAACCGCTGTGACCTTGAACGTAGGTCTAGGTCATTTTCTTTCTCAAACTTTGTCTGGCTCTATCCCAGGAAGCCACCAGACAAATATAAAGATTCTATACCTTTTTGTCCTTCAGTAGAAGTTGTTTAAAGAGTTTGACATATTTGACACCTGTGACCTTAAACATAGGTCATAGTCATTTTCATTCTCAAACATTGTCAGGTTCTGTCCCAGTAAGCCACCAGCCAAATATAAAGATTATATACCATTTGGTTTTTTAGGAAAAGTTGTTTGAAGTATTTGGCATATTTGACCCCTTGTGTTCTGGAAAGCAGTTCAAGGTCATTTTCATTCGCAAACTATGTGCGGCTTTATCCCAGGAAGCCACCACCCAAATATAAAGATTCTATAACTTTTAGTTCTTCAGGAGAAGTCATTTAAAGAGTTTGACATATTTGACCCCTGTGACCTTGAAAGTAGGTCAAAGTCATTTTCATTTGCATCTTTGTTCGGCTCCTACCAAGGAAGCTTTCAGTCAAATATCATGGTTTTACGCCTGTCCGTTCTTCAGAAGAAGTTGTTTAAAGGAAAAGTTGACGGACGGACGCCGCACCATGACATAAAAAAAACTTAATACGCTAAAATGTCCCTTTAAGATATTTTTGTTTGAAATTTGAAATTTTAATTTTTAAGCTTTTAACCCAGGTTGACCTTTGACTCCAGCAAGCACTTAAAGTTGACCTTTGACCTCATTACTGTAATTAAGAAAATGATTCACACAGCTGGTCTAGATTTACATAACATACCCAAGTACCATGACTCTAGACCAAATGATTCTTAAGATATTGTTGTTTGAAGTTTTTAACATTTTTGACCCCTGTGACCTTGAAAGTAGGTAAAGGTCATTTTCATTCACAAGCTTTGTTGGGCTCCATCCCAGGATGTTACTGGCCTAATATCATGAATGCAGGACTTTCGGACCTTTAGAAGAAGTTGTTTTAAACAAAAAGTTGAAGGACAGAGTGACGACGGACGCCACATCATGGCATCGGGAAGGTGAGCTTAAAACCATAATAATATACTCATATATCTATATATATAGTGGTAAAGAGTTTTAGATGTTCATGTGACGGTAAAAATATAAAACAAAACACGAAGACTACAATTCGCTTATTGTTGCTCTTTCAGGTCGATTTGAATATATTTGTTATGTCATAAATGGAGTACAAATACTTAAGATGTCAAAAATAATGACGACATAAGCAAAGTACACATAATGCGGACTTCTAGAAATTGCAACGTCTTACAATGATTGCATGAATGTAATAACTTTAATGTAAGAACATTTTAAGTACCTTTTTGTTATTCAAAAGAAGTACTTTAAAGATTTCAACATATTTGATTCCTGTGACCTTGAGTATGAGTGAAGGTAATATATTTGAACAAACTTGGTAGCCCTTCATGCCAGCAATTGTTACTGATCAAATATCACCACCCTGAACATTTATGTTATTCAGAAGAAGTTGTTTAAAGATTTTAAAGAAAATTGATCCCTGTGACCTGGAATAAACTTCAAAGCATTTCATCTCAGCATCCTACTGGCCAAATATTAACACCCTCGGGCTCTTGGATATTAAAAACAAGAGGCCCATTGGGCCTGCACCGCTTACCTGGAATTAATCTCACACTTGTAATCTTAAAAGTGGACTAAAATACAGCTTCAGGCAGAATATCAGTGTTTGATTCATAAGAACCTATTAAAAGATTTAAACATATGACGCCTCTGACCTTTAATGTCGAACAAGGACATTAGGTTGAAAGTGGGTCAAGGTCATTCACTTGAACAAACTTGGTAGTCCTTCATCCCAGCATGCTACAGGCCCAATTTAAGTACCCTGGGCCTTTTGGTTATTGAAAAGAAGTGGTTTGAAGATTTTAAGACATTTGACCCCTGTGACTTTGAAAGTGGGTCAAGGTCATTCATTGCAACAAACTTGGTAGCCCTTCAACCAAGCATGCTACTGGCCAAATATAATACAAGGCCTTTTGGTTAATTACTGAGAAGTTGTTTAAATTAATAAGTTGACGCCGGACAGGTGGACGCCAGACGCCGCACCATGCCTCTTGCCCTTTCGATAGATGAGGGTTAAAAAATACTAGCTGCTTCCTACCAACTCTGCTAGGGAAAATAGGGAGCCGAGTTGGTAGAAAGTGGCTAATATTTTACCAGGGCGACACATATTTGACCCCTTTGAACTTAAATATAAGTCAAGGTCGTTCATTTGAACTAACTTGGTAGCCCTTCATCAGACCATATCACTGGCTAAATATCAAGATCATTAGACTTTTTCTTCTTCAGAAGAAGTTGTTAAAAGTTTTTAAACATATTTGACCCTTGTGACCTAGAATATGAGTCAAAGTTATTCATTTGAACAAACTTGGTAGCTCTTCCTACCAACATGGTACTGGCCAATTATCATCATCCTGGACCTTTTAGTTATTCAGAAGAAGTTGTTGATAGGTTTTACACATATTTGACCCCATTTGGCCTTTAATATAATAAAAGTCAATTCAAAGGTCATTGATTTCAACAACCTTGCTAGCCCTTCACCTCATCATGTAACTTGCCAAATACCATCACCGTAGGCATCTTTGTTATTCAGAAGACGTTGTTTGAAAGTAATTAGTTGACGCCGGACGGACATACAGACAGATGGACGACGGACGCTGCACCACGGGCCAGGTGAGCAAAAAATATCCCTTTAGCTCCTACAAATGAGGAATCTATACTCACATCAGCTTGGTCCGCCATTTTCTTTTATAAAATTGGTTATCTGTTAAAGAAAAAAGTTAAAAGATGAACAAACTTATCTTTAAAAATATCCCGGTATGTATATCGTACTACATCATTGTTTGACCTTTGTTAACATAGCTCAGTCAACATTGAAACAAGCCTTCAAACGAGGGACGAAAAATAATGTTCTCATTAAAAGTTATGTTGCCAATATTTCCCTATTTTTGACTCAGCATCCAGCAACACCCTTGCTACATATACGTACATAAAACCTTCTGGCTCTCATTTTGACCAGGACCCAGGAGGTTTCGTGGCAAATTTGTTTTAGATTGATATGTATGTGAAGACACATTACATAGATTTATAGACAGTATAACTCATACCAATGAACGAGCTGGACACGTAATTTGGGCTGTCACAGGTACAGAATTTCGGTCCCAGGTACCCGAAATTTGATATCCGACCTGTACACAGGTACTCACTTTATTTCACCCACACAAAGCATCATCATTATTTACAGGGTTCTGTTAGAGCTAAAAAATATATGTATTACAAAATCATGCTTCATTGCCGAGAGTATCATGTTAATTCTAATAATATAAACTGACCCGTTTTTAACTGTAAAACGATAAATATACACTCTGATATATAATTAGCTAGGTAACGAATATTGCAGTAATATTTGCTCCGGAGCTGATCAGCAGACACACTACACACAAAGTTGATGAAATACAATATATTTTCCCAGGCAAAATGTGCGGTCGTGAGCCCGGGGCTAGTAGACACCAAAAATCCACTAGCCCGAACTTAATGGATAGACAAGACATTGATCTATAAAAAAAATCACAAACGTTTCTCTATTTTATACTTGTCAATGCATATATACACTTTATGAAAACATTTGAAAAGTGATATTCGTCTCGTGGATATCCCTTTTTACAGAAAGGTTTGTCTCATGGATGTGGGAAGGTATTTAGCCCTGTATCCATTTGTACCGGTCATATTCCGGCAATAGATATTTCTTGGTGTCTATAGATAATGCCAAGATGCGATCAAATACTTCTTCATTCAAATTCTGAATATTGGCATGTGTGCAATTAAAATTCTGATTATAAATAATTATTGATTCAATAAGTTTCAACACAGACTTAATGCGTTAAGAAGTTGCAGTTGCCTGAGGTCCCCTTTCTGGGGTCCCCTTTGGAAACTTTGCAAGTGGTCAGACTGGACATTTGGAACGGACTACGAAAATGTGGATAGCAAGGTACCATAAGTGGAAGTGCATACAACAAGTCACATACATTCACTAAAACAATATGGCTCTTCACGTGATGTCCCTTAATTATCATCAAGTACAGTCATATATGTTACATATTGATAATACTGAAGGTTGCTCCAGCCCAATTTAGGATAAAATCCCTTACTCCAAAGAGTAGAAGAAGGATTTTAAAGGTTTTACCTCTATTTCCCCTATTGGGCCCCACCCTGCTGCCGCCTTGGAGACCAAACCCACTGCTTATACAAAATTAAGTCCATTTGGCCCAAAGAAACTCCAGACTAAATTAGGATAAAATCTCTTACAGTAGAAGAATTCTAAAGGTTTTACCTCTATTTCCCCTATTCGGCCCCACCTCTCTGCCCCCAGAAGGGCCACACCAAACATTTATACAGAATGGAGTCCCCTTGTCGCAAGCATGCTCCAGACAAAATTTTGACGAAATCCCTAAATCCCTATGGTAGGAGAAGGATTTTAAATGTTTTACCTCTTTTTCCCTATTTGGCCCCACCCCTCTGCCCCCAGGGGTACCATACCCACCGTTTATACAAAACTGAGACCTCTTCGCCCGAGGTTGCTCCAGACTAAATTAGGATGAATTCCCTTAATCCCTTCCTTATGGTATACGTAGTAGAAGAAGGATTTTAAAGGTTTTACCTCTATTTCCCCTATTTAGCCCCACCCCTCTGCCCCCAGAGAGGCCACACCAACCATTTATACAAAATGGAGTCCCCTTGGTGCAAGCATGCTCCAGACCAAATTAGGTTGAAATCCCATAATCCCTATGGTTGGAGAAGGATTGTTAAGGTTTACCTCAATTTATCCTACTCGCCCACCCCCANTGAGACCCCTTTGCCCATGGTTGCTTCAGACCAAATTAGGATGAAATCCCTTAATTCCAACAATGGAAGAATAATTTAAAATGTTTACCTCTATTTCCCCTATTTGGCAGAACCCCTCTGCCCCCAGAGGGGCCACACCAACCATTTAGACAAAATTGAGTCTTCGGCCGAAGAATGTTCCAGACCAAATTAGGATGAAATCCCTTTATCTCTATGGTAGATGAAGGATTTTAAAGATTTTACCTCTATTTCCCGTTTTCGGCCCCATCTCTCTCCCCCTGAAGAGCCACACCAAGCATTTATACAAAATTGAGTCCCCTTGGCGCAAGCATGCTCCAGATAAAATTGAGATAAAATGCCTTTATCCCTATGGAAGAAGACGGATTTGTAAGGTTTACCTCAATATACCCTATTCGGCCCTACCCCTCTGCCCCCAGGGGGACCACACCCACCATTTATACAAAATTGAATTCCCTTGGCCTAAGTATGCTCCAGACTAAATAAGGATGAAATCTCTTAATCCCTACAGTAGAAGAAGGATTTTAAATGTTTTACCTCTATTTACCCTATTCGGCCCACCCCTCTGCCCCCAGGGGGACCATACCCACCGTTTATACAAACTGAGACCTCTTTGCCCAAGGTTGCCCCAGACCAAATTAGGATGAATTCCTTAATTCCTACAGTAGAAGGATGTTGAAGGTTTTACCTCTATTTCCCCTATTCAGCCCACCCCTCTGCCCCCAGGGGCACCACACCCACCGTTTATACAAACTGAGACCCCTTGGGCCAAGGTTGCTCCAGACCAAATTAGGATGAAATCCCTTTGATTTGTCCAAGCGTGAATGTCTTTGTATGTAACATGAATGTCGGACAAGGGCTCTAGATCTATATATAGAGCTTATGTTATTAAATAAAATTTATCTTAGGACCGGAGAGGAGTGAGAAAATTAGATCAGGCATGGAAGTGAAGTGAGACAGAGAAAAAGGGGGTGGGGGTAGGGATAGAGGCACTAAGGGAGTTTTTTTATAGTAATACCCCGATTTTTACAATGATATTTATCTCCATTTACAGTCAAAATTTCAAACACCTGTGCTGTTGTGAGCAGACGCAAGATCTGCAGCCAGGTATACGTAACCTACCAGAAAACACACTTATTCTCCAGAAAATTGTTCGGTGTGATGAGATAATATCATCCCCGTCATGTGTTTCCATTTAATCATTCGTTCTGAAGTTCAGCAGTCCTTAGAGTCGAAAGTTCAACTCAGCCATGTTTAGAAAGTGCCGAAGTAAATTTTCGTACGCCAGACCCGGACCGGCCCGAACCAGCCAAGAAAACCGATTCAGGCATGAAAACAATTATTAAATTATACATATCTCGATAATAATTTCATAATTCCTATAACCTCTTTAACTGTTTTCTAGATACAGTTTGATATTCTGAGTAAAAATGAAAAATTTGTGACGAGTTTCATTTGTGACGTTATATTATGTACTGGCAGGACCTTATGTACCCATCGCCTTCAGCTCAGGGTACATACTATGAAAGGCCGTTCATGTCAAAAACGAGATAAACTAACGCGTTAGCAGTTAACGCGTTAAAACATCATTTAACGCGTTAAATTAGATTTAACGCGTTAAACAACAATTTAACGCGTCAAATGCTATCACGTTAAATATATACTTTTATCGCGTTAAACAATCAAAAATATTTTAACGCGATAAAATGCTTCCCAAGTTTAACGCGTTGAATGTTGTACTTATTTTTTTAACGCGTTAAAGTGTCATAAATGAATGGACCAATCACATGTGCTGTTACATACAGTACTTAATCATGGCTGATGAATGCTGTTCGAGTAAGATGGCTGGGATCGGCTGATATGAGGTCAATTTACATGCATTGCAATAAAGATTCAGTCCTGAACAAATATAAACTTCCAAATCGGTGCCCAAAATTATACTTTTCATCGGGGTCGGATAAGACGGTGGATTTTTTGCTCTTTCAGATGTATAAAAATAAAAATGTATCTGTATATAACGTAAGTAGATGACATTGGTTATTATTTTATAAAACTAGTTTGTTAACTGAAAAACGGCAAACTTTTTGTTAACAAATAACTAGCAGTATATGGAAATACATTATAATTGGTACATATATTGTTCAAGGTCATGAGAAATGAAACATGAAACATGGCAAGAATCTGAATTTTCGAATTTCAATAAAAACGGTAACTTTTTGTAGGAAGTAATGCAAGGAATATTTCCGCAAAGTTTCTATGTCACAGGTTCAAAGGTCAAGGTCGTGGACACTTGGGGAGACTGAGATTGCAAAGTTCCTAAAAACCAGTAAACATACACCGACACCCTGGAAACAAAAAATGGAAAGTTTCCTAAAAAATGGTACACTTTCTGTATAAACATAAACTAGTTGCAAAGAATTATACGAAAAATGTGTTGGCAAAGTTTCGAGGTCATAGAGGTTAAAGTTAAATGTCACTGACACTTCAAAAGACAAAAAATGCCCAATTTCTCATTAACGGTTCACTTTTTGTATACACTTCTATATTTGCAAAATTGTAGAACATAATATTTCAGCCAAGTTGTAAGGTCACGTGGTTAAAGTTCAGAGTCATAGACACATCAGGCGACTGAACATGCCCATTCCCCCCCCCCCCCCCCCCCCAAAAAAAACAAAAAAACGTAGACTTTTTGTTAACTCATATACATTAGAAAGTTGTAGGTAATTGTGCAAAGATTTTTTTTGACGAAATTTCAATTTTCTCAGAAACCTAGGACCCATTGAATTTAGTTGCGGAAACAGGTGAAGACAGCTCGAAATGTAATAGCTTCAAAATTAAACTAGTTCTGAAACTTAATGTGATATACAGTATTTTGTTGATAG